AGTGAATTCCTGTTAGCTGCACGCTTGGCTGTGTACCTCTGAATTAAATATTTGTAAAACACCCGTTTGATATAATTATTAGTCCACCCATTTATTCTAGGTTGATGTTACCTACAATGACAATAACATTATTTAAAATATCAACGATATCAGTACAAAACTTGTACGTATGTAATTAATTAGTTTCAGAAATACAAAGACATACACGTGAATTTTTTTTTTATTTAATTTTATTGCCCTTGTAGGCAGACGAGCATACGATTCACCTGATGGTGAGTGGTTACCGTCGCCCATGGACTTCAGCAATGCCAGGGGCAGAGCCAAGCCGCTGCCTACCGTTGAATACTCTCCACAAGCCTATATTTTGACTATGATTTTTTTAATCATTAAAATAGACGAACTTATTATCAGTAAAGACATATAGCGCTTATTCATATCAATTAAAAAAAAAACTGAAAAACAAACACCTAAAAAGTAAAACGAAGGCAGAGATGGTCAAACTTTAGTGAAACGAATTTGGTAAACGTTCTAAGAACCACTTTGACCTATTTATTATTGGGACGCAAACGTAATAGATAAATAGACAGTTTGTTTTAAGCCCTCTATATCAGTTAAACTGCCTATCTATATAATTAACATATTTTACAAACCATAGTAATATACTGTCGTAGTTAGGTCTTAGGAGCAATCTTTTTCTAATATTATTTTACTGGACTCTGTTACACCTAAGATCTATATATATAAAAATGAATTGCTGCTGTTCGTTACTCTCGCTAAAACTCGAGAACGGCTTTACCGATTTGGCCAATTTTGATCTTGAATTATTTGTGGAAGTCCAGAAAAGGTTTAAAAGTTAGATAAATATGAAAATTCTCGGAATTAAATAAAAATAACAATATTGTTTTTCCTTTGATGTGTCCCCCATCAGACGGATTCCTTTTGGTTATTTTAAGTTTATTTTATACAAAAGTTTAGATCTTTTATTTATCGTTTAAGGCACTACGAAGTCTGACGGGTCAGCTATTAATAGAATATTTTTATTATAAAAATTTCTCTTGGTGATGGGAAAATATGAAACCAGTGACAAGCATTGGTTTGACTGTGGAACATCCATTCCAAACACAATCAAAACTAAATGCATGAAGTGTGGTCTTTACTAAAAATAATTTATTGCAGAAAGCAGTGAATCGAACGAACAATTTCAAAATAAAAGTATTCGAAAAGTTTGTGGTGCATTCTAATTTATTAATAGGTCTTACAATCATTTTATTGTATGTATTGGTTTTTATTAATTTGTTAACAACATTAATAAGATGATGGCATGAAAAATTTGACATCTCCCAATAACATATTAATGGTGGTAGGTGAGTCCGCGCGGGTAGGTACCGCCATCCTGCCTATTTCTGCCCTGAAGCAGTAATGCGTTTCGGTTTGAAGAGTGGGGCATTTACATTGTAGATGTCACGGGCTCCAGGAACCACTTAACACCAGGTGGTGTGAGATCGTCCATCCAATTAAGCCGTAAAAAAAAAAAAAAAAACCATGTGTAACGTGCAATATTATCCACAATATTTACGCAAACTATGTTATCAACCAACTTTTGTGTTATTTACGTTGGAAAATTTGTGAAATTATAAAAATTCGCTCTGTTTTCTTCTTAATATACTTAGAAGAATAGAAAATGGGAGTAATAATGATATCATTTCTTGTTTATTTGTCTCTTAGGGTGGATTCGACCAAACTTAAATTTATACTCGAGTAACCATACGAGGAATAACCTATTCCATGATTTTAATCTCAATTGGGAATAACAATACGCGAATAGCAGAGTGAATGTTATTCCTAGCGCAAGTATACTCTCGTTTACGTGGAAAAACGACTATGGATTTACTCGAGATTAAAATCATGGAATAGGTTATTCCTCGTATAGTTTTACTCGTGTATAAATTTAAGTTTGGTCGAATCCACCCTAAGTGTGTTTATTCATACTCTATGATTTCACGCACGGTTATTCACATTCCGATTTGAGCAACCGACGCGCGTGGACGTGCTCATTGTTCGTTCGATTGCCCGACCTCGGTTCGTGGCACATCTGGCGTCCAAGTGTTTTTTGTCGGAAGTGACTACCGGTGATAATAGATCATTGTTCGTGGCACATCTGTGGCCCAAGTGTTTCTCGGAATTTGTACCTGCGCCTAATTGCAAGGCATTGCCGCCCGGAAACNTCCACAAGGTTCGTCAGGACTGTATTTTGATACACAACTGCATTCGTTTTTACACCTTTCTCACAAAAATGTACCTCTGTTAAGCCCCAATAAGAAACTTCCAACCATACCATGAGCGAGGATGGAAAATGACCTCGTTGGACACGCGGAATACGGTTGCTCGCTTCTTCACTACTGTGTGCGTACACCTTATCATTTTCTTTGTTGTAGCTCTCTTCTACGGTAAAAATTTTTTCATCCGAAAAAAGAATTTCCCGATATTTTTTTCCCGCGTACCGCTTCAACAAAGCGCGGCATCTCTTCATTCTCAGGTCCATTAGACGAGCATTCAAACGATGTCCTGTTTTTCTTCGATATGCCCGAAGCCCTAAGTCTTCATTTAACACCCTGTTCACTGTGGTTCTGCTTAACCCCATCTGAAGGGCCAACAGTTTCTGCTTACGTTTGGGATTTCTTTGAATTCGTGCCTTCACAGCTTTTATCACTGCTGGAGTCCTAACAGACCGAGGGCGACCACTTCTTGACCTGTCATCTACACTAGAGTCTTCATAGTATCGTTTGATGGTACGATAAACGAATCTTTTGGTTATATTCAAATTGTTCAGTATGTTAAAAATTTGAATTGGCGCGTAACCGCAACGATGCAACGCAATAACTGCAACACGGTCTTCTTTAAGCGTCCACTCCATATTTAAAAATGAGTAAAATTCTAAAAGTATACATTTTTATTTTCATGAACAATTCGAAATTCGAATTCAATAAACTTTTTTCTGGCCAGCATTCTAAAATAAAAGTTTTTACTGTGTGACAATACTTATGACCTGACTAGTTATAAATAAATAATAAATACCCAGAGAAAACAAAAGACAGCAAACAAACCTGTTCATAACACAATGTTTTCCCGACTTGGGAATTGAAGTCACGACCCTCGACGCAACAGTCAGGGCCACTAAATACTGCACCATCGAGTCAGTTATATGTTATCACTGAATGTGAAGCCATGAACTTTTAAAAAGCTATTCGAAATGTGTGCACAATTGTAATCTTGTGGTGAACAATCAAGATTGCTGTGTCGGAGCTTTCATTGTGCGTACAAAGTAACATTTATTGCAAGCGAAAGTATGGCGTCTGTGAAAAGAAAGCGTAAAAACAACCATCGGTGCCAGCAAAACAAAGTAAATGGTTGCCCTACTAAACTTGACTTGAGTAGTGTTCATAATAATTACTATTAATGTGTATGTAAAATAATAATTTCTTACAAATCGTGGTTTTGAAAATAAGCCAGACCAAGGTACGTCCAAAAGTCGTCCACGAATAACGTGTATATATGTGTATATTATTATTATTATTATGAATCACTTTCTACAAATTTCATTATAATAGTTACACAGAAAATCTAAAAAAAGCAAAAATAATTATTAAGAACCGTTGCCTAGAAACTCACATTCGAAAATCTATGACTATATGTGTATAATAAAGTTATACACAAAAAAATGTTATATGTATTTATTATATGTAATTATATGAAACCCCAGGGACTTATTTAAATATACATAGAAACATAAGATCTGAAAGTATGGAAAAAAATCACATGTTTCATTAATAAGCTTCATGATTCATTCATGAGATCAACTTCATTCAATCACGTGTCGCTAATGCAATTTTGTATGTTTTCACAACAGATAGTAATTGCAAAACAGGCTGGGTGTTAAATCTGTTCAAAAATAAAATGTGTTATAATACTATAGTCAACGGTGGACCACTTGAGGATGGCATTATATATTTGAATAAACATTCATATGGTCTAATTCCTGATTCCCATTTATGTCTAGTTTGCTAATTTTTTTTTTTTAACCAATGTTTTTCCAAATGTTTAGTTCAGATCGACATTTCCTGATAACCTATGGTTCCTGTGTCACATGACAATGTTTTTTCAAACAAGTTAACATCTCACGCACATTTAAGTCTTTGAAACAAACACTCGTCCTAACAATGTTAATTTTACTAGTTTGCTAATATTTGTTTTGTTTTTTATTAACAAATGTTTTTCCAAATGTTTAATTTAAATCGATATTTCCTGATACCCTATTGTTTCTGTGTCACATGACAATAATGTTTGTTCAGAAAAGCTAACATCTCATGCACATTTAAGTCTTTGAAACAAACACTTCGTCCTAACAATGTTAATTTTAAAAATATTCCCGTAATAGGAACCCGTTTATGGTTTGGTTCTATACCTACAAAAAAAGGTGAATTGAACGGAAATGAAGTAACGNATCGATATTTCCTGATACCCTATTGTTTCTGTGTCACATGACAATAATGTTTGTTCAGAAAAGCTAACATCTCATGCACATTTAAGTCTTTGAAACAAACACTTCGTCCTAACAATGTTAATTTTAAAAATATTCCCGTAATAGGAACCCGTTTATGGTTTGGTTCTATACCTACAAAAAAAGGTGAATTGAACGGAAATGAAGTAACGCTAACCGGTTTTCTTCAGTGGGTGGAGCGCTTGAATCTTTTATACATAGTTGATTTTTGTCTGTGCGACACTTGTGTGTCTGTTAACTTAAATAAAGATTTTTGGATTATTCTTCTTGAAATCGAATTTCCAGAACAATCAATTCACTGTTAAAGATTATTTTATGCCAAAACAAAAGTTCTACCTCGCTATTCTACCGGCTATTCCAATTAATTGGGCCAATAACGTCTTTGAATTTATTCATGTAAGTAGGTCATGATGTATTTTGGAGATTAAAATGAAACAATTTATTTTTGATAATCGCCTGTTTTATTTTCCAACATTAATGCTATATTTTTTTAACATAAAATTCACTCATTAGTTATCGCACATCGAACAACATTAATAGTGCATCACATAGCAACACGAAGTAATGCTTTCTAGTTACCTTGGGGGATAAATAAGTAAATTGATAATCTTTGGAGACGAAACGTACGTTATAATATACAGTTTGAGTAGTATACATAACACTTTCTTATTCATGTAACATCATCATATTTTAGTTTCAACAATCAAGATACTCGTAATATATTTATGACATTTATAAACTATTTTTTTGGCGATCAGATACCGTAGATACCCATTCCAATATCACTTATTAATTTACACTAACACTCTTCAACTAATCAGTCGTGGATCCATCACTTCGGGATCCAATTTAACTTCCCGTGTTTATCTAAATAAATTATATCATACAAAAAATATTACACTAATAACCTGTGTGTTACCAATTACACACGTCTTACGTATAGGACTTCTAACTTAGATACACATTTACGATAATTCTTACACAGTAACGTTTGCCGATACGCAACACTGATATTGTTTAGATCCATTTAAACGATTTAGTATATTTAAACGTCTGTAGCACAGCCATCTTGAAAGCCGTCATCTGCAGACGGCCTGGTGATTGTAAGAACGCGTTTTAACGCTGACACTGGAGGCAGAACCGGGGGTGCACGCTGCCACACACGGAGAGTGCGCGCGCCTCCTACTGGCAGGCCATAGTCGGGTGGGTAAGGGGCATCTGTGGATACCGCTGTATTTGTGGCAGAAAGCGCATGAGATCGTGGGAAGGTTCGACTCATATAGCCCAACTCTTCCTGAGAACCGTTCACACTTCCATTCTCGATTATCGGTGTTCTGTCGTTATAGTATGTGGGTATAGCTGAACTTATAGCCCGAGACAAATTATTTGTCTGATTCAATTTAACTTGATCCCACAATCCAGATGGATATAAAGAATCAGAAGCCTCGCGTGCGTACTCGCCGCTCCCTGGCCTATTAGCACTATCCGGCCTTGTGTCGTTGATAAGATCAGGGTCGATCGAAGCGGACACCGTCGGTGAAACCACAACAGGTCCGTTCGCAGTCACAACGCTTCCTCTTCCCTCGTAGTGGTTAGTCGTATATGGTATATCATTCACTCTTGGCGGTTTCATCACAGGATTACATTTAGAATCACGGTAATTCGATGATTCCTGTCTATTAGCCAGTACAGCTACTTGCGGACGGTCATTATTTGACGGATGAACTTCGTTTCCTGATACCACGCGATCCAATGTGTTAGGAGTTTTAGTATCACAAACAGGGGTCGTACGAAGCCGCAGAAATGTAGCTAGAGTTGCCAAACAAACAGCGATGATTATTAAAAACAATACCGCTCCCAAACTCGCAATCTGAGCATTACCAAGTGACGCCATTCCGACTGCAATTTGCGTAACGTGTACTGTAAAGTTAGCTTCCGCGTTACCACCCTTGTTTTCGGCAACGCAATAAAATTCACTGGAATCGGATTCCTGTGTGTTCGTGAGAATCAATATTGACCTCTTTTTTGCATCGCCTTCTTCGAAAATGTATATTTTTTGATGGGAGTTAAAATGACTACCATTTTGAAGTAATCTACCATTCCAGTACCAGTTTATTACTGCGCTTGGTATAGCTTCAGTTCTACAAGTTATCGTGGTATTTTCCCCCACATTTGCTTCAATATGCCGACTTATAGGTAATATTTCGGGCTTACACGCAAACTCTTCAATAGCTAACTCTGAAAATGGTCGACCCGTCAATCTTGCTGGTGCAGAACAACTAGGAGTTGAAAGCATTTTGTTTTTGGCTAACCATATTTTCAGGTCACGAAGCCGACAATCACATATCCAAGGATTATCCGATAAATCAATAGCTCTCAATTTTTCAATTTTTTCAATAGAATTCAATGGAAATTCTCGAAGTCTGTTATGATCAAGCTTAAGTGATTCCATTGAACGTAAATTTCTAAATGCATCTGCAGCTACATCTCTAATTTCGCATCTAGATAAATCTAGTTTAATAACGCTTCCAAGATTTGTCAAAGCATCAGAATGAACTTTTAATATAGGATTTTGAGCCAGGGTGAGGTCTCGTAAAAAAGGTGCATCTTTGAAACTGTTTGATGGAATCTGTGTCAATAAATTCTGCGACAAATCTAACTCCACTAAATTTGTCAACCCTTTGAATGCTCTGTCATGTATCTGACCAATGTTACAACTTCGAAGATATACTCTTTGTAAATTAACCAGTCCAGTTCTCGCAAAAGCCTCCTGTGGTAATATTTGGAGATTATTTCCTGAAAGGTCAAGTACTTGCGTGGCAGGATCCACCGGTTCTGGTACCGTGATGAGAGCTCTATCTACGCATTCCACGGTTTGTTTGCCTCCTTTCCATTTGCACGCACAAACAGCAGGACACGAACCGGGAGGCGCTACCCCAGCCAGTATTGTTTTTGATAACATCACACTGATTGTCACTATTAACCACCTCATGTTTATAAAATCCAATTGAAACACAGTAGATCTCGCTTTTAGTTCACTAAAGCTCACCGTACTGATCCATGGTTCACTTATTNATTCCACGGTTTGTTTGCCTCCTTTCCATTTGCACGCACAAACAGCAGGACACGAACCGGGAGGCGCTACCCCAGCCAGTATTGTTTTTGATAACATCACACTGATTGTCACTATTAACCACCTCATGTTTATAAAATCCAATTGAAACACAGTAGATCTCGCTTTTAGTTCACTAAAGCTCACCGTACTGATCCATGGCTCACTTATTTACACTAGAAAAAAATACAAAATTCATTAATACATTTCGTTTACATTTCGATACCGAATCACATCACTACTCGAGAAAGTTGGCGAGCGACACATGACGGTACGGTGTGCGCTCGAGACGACTCCGAACAAACTGAGAGGGAGGGATCGTCTGATCGGCTCAGTAAAAAGCGTTGGGCACGCATGCGTGTTAGTGACTCCCCTCGCCCCGCTTTGCGGCTCTCCTCAACGTCCGAGTAGCCCCACTCGGTATGTACAATTGAAAGAATTCCAAAAGTATAATTTCGTACCTGACTGTGACCGCAGCCGATAATCCGACTTGGCGGCCCCTCACGTTCATTCATAAATACCTGGCACGGAACAAAGCATTGGGTCTGCACTTCGAGATGCAACAAACAACATACACGATCCATTGTGGGTTACAAACTGTTCTAAATCTTTTACAAAACATTTTTTTGTTTGAAACACGTCGTGACGGAATATCAGGTAGAAGCTAATAATAGTAAACTCTAAACGCTTCTAGGGTACAGGTAACAATAATGGAGCAGGATACAGAGTCACAATGAATGACAAAATCATTCATACTTTTGTGAAAATATTAGTTTAGGGTGTGATATTTTGTAAAATTTAACCAAAAATCTTATCAAGAATAACTCAGACAATCAAGCTGTAAATACTAAAGCAAACTTATCTCAATGCTTATGAAAATTACAGCAAAATTAACTGGATTTTATAATCCAAGCTTCAGAGTTTCTAGGTCTCAGTAACTATTGTGGTACACAAAATGTACAGAAGCCGTAAAGGGTACACGGTATCCTTATAACAAACGGGTAACAACATTACTAAGACTAAATTGTAAAATGTTTTTTTTTTTAATGTAAACATTTCTTTCTACCCTCATTACACAGTACCTATCCCATTGCAATCTTGAAAACAGTACTATATATTTATTCGTATTTAAAACGTTAAACTATCGTTATATTAAATCAGACAATATCATCAATTAGAATTCCAAGGTCAATTCAGGTCAGGTCTTTTTAGTAATGCTAGATCGTAATTTAAATTAAAAACCCTTATTTTAGATTTAGAAATCTTCAAATCCCTTTTTAAGTAATTAATGAATGAGCATGGGGCATGTGGAAGGTGAACGGGCATTCCTGCTCTGGCACGCTTCGCCATATGCGACCGTGTGTCATATTATATAACAGTCGTCAGCTGTTTCTTGCTACACCTGGCTAGTGGAGCACGACGGCTGACGAAGCGTACGCTACACCAGCGCACCCATTCTCCTCACTGCTAAGGCTTCTTAATAAAAGAGCTTTTTAATAAAACTAAGGGAGGCTCTTAAAAGTAATAAGTCGACAACAACTAATTTTACTTCAGAACCTAATAATTTTCAATAACTAAAACCTAACTTAAAACTTTAACAATAATGGGTAGAGTTGAGTTGGTCCTAAATATATTATACCTGTACGTATATTTATGAAATCAGGGGAAATTAGACTACGTATGCACCATTCTAATATGAAGGTATACAACATGCACATTTGTCCGATTATTCATTGTAATATGTGAATAGATGCTAAGGATAACTAAGTTTCATATACCAATACAAACTCATGTATGACGTAATATAGTATTTATATCCTAAACTCGTGTATATGATAAGACCTCCCAAACTTTCTTCATCAAATAAACATAAAAAGCGTAAGTTACAAATACAGCTGTCTCTAGATTTCTCAAAATAACTTATATTGATAACAGAAAGGATACATCTTTGAAAAACATCGTTTTGACGTTTAACATCTGTACGATTTCAAAACAAATTTTAAAAGGATATGTTATTAAAATACTCTAAATGAAACTTAAATTAAGGCATAATCTAAAGTGTAATTAAGCAGTTTGATTCTTTGAAATGTAACAAAAACATGTTAAATATGCATATTATCTTAAATTAAGAAGTGGTTTTATATGGAAAGTCACGGTGACTAATGCATGTGAGACACTTCGAAACTGAATTCATGGCAAAACATATATGTATATACATCAAGAACAGCAAAAATGGAGATTTTTTTTAATTCAAATCCGAATGTTTAAAATTATTAGATATATTATTATATTATATAAGTATTATCTCGTATCTTATCGTGGATCTCGTATTTGAACATAGCATGCTAATACAAATTTAACCTCGTCGGGTTTATTAAATTATATAAGAAGCAACAAAATTTAAAAATTTTTGTGCATTTTTTGAATTCATAAAACATGGATAGTTGAATTGAAAATACTTGTTTCATGCACAAATTAATAGTCATAAAAAAACGTGCCGCTTAGATAATTACGCCAAATTCACATCTGTACATTTTTTCTCAAGCTTCTTAATGAGCATTGAGCGTCGGTAATAATGAACAGTTAAACGACCCTCCCAATTTAATGATTATGAGTAAGTTCCGGTGGTCAATGAACGCAACTAAATTATATTTGTGCGAAACATACTATTAGTCAGCTGCCCAATTCGTAAATAATAAATAAATAATCGTAGAGCATAGAATACTAATGAGATAATAAGAGTGCAAATTTAGAAACAATGTCTGTCAAAGCAAAATATGAACCTGGTCTTTTTTAAAAGCATTAACTTAAAAGAAATGTTTGGCCATTGATCGGTCCTTTTTTCCTATTTTTAGATAAATGATTCTTAGAAACTGCCACAGATCAAAAATAATTGGTAGACAACACAAACATCTTTGAAAATTTTTAACACATGAGATGTATTTGTTGCCATTCCTGTATATCATTAAACTACTCTTTTTTTTCACTTTACTACTAAGGTCGTGCACACGTAAAATATAAGAGTGAGTGAAAAGTATTTTACATGAAAATGAAACACAGAAATGCAACGAAAAATTATGTTTCTAAAAATTTGTTCGTAAAAAATGACTTTTCTTAAGTCTCGAAACACGAAACTTATAAATTCAGTCTAACTCGAGTATTCTATTATATATTATCTAACGTAGGCTAAAAGCGCAAGCCAAACCGAACAAATCCTTACCTTTCGGATATTTTTTTTTTCGGGCCGAGGGCCGAATCTAACTTAACTATATAACGTAACTATAGAACTTATATGTCAAGGTGGGTGGCGCTTTGTACGTTGTAGATGTCTATGGGCTCCACTAACCACTTAACACCAGCTCGTCCACCCATCTAAGCAATAAAAAAAAAAACGGAATAATTTTTATTATAACGAACAAAAGGAAAATTAAAATTTTACTTTTAAAAAAATCTATATAACTTGTGTGAAAGAATATGAAATAAATATTGAAACGTTATAAAGGAATTTAATTTTCGGAGCGCTAAAATTCCCAAAATATACATATATGTATGTATTTTAAATTACATAGATGAGTAAAAGAGCTCACGGTTCATCTAATATTCAGTAGCCATCAGAGCCTATAGATATCACAAAGTGAACGCCACCACCCAACTTGAGACATAGTCGAAGTCCTAATGGTGACGGCTGTCCGACCCTTCTAACCGAAACGCATGACGCTTTTCAGCATAAATAGAGCAGAGGCTGTCCACTGAGTATCTCGCCGGATCTTCTCAATGGTTCGCGATTCCGATCTGGTACTAGATTCTGCGAAGCACTGCTCTTGCTAGGGCTTTTTTTCCACAGGAGAAAATCGCCGGATACCCACCCGCAAGACGGGTGGGGTATGTGGGACTTGAACCTCACTAAAAACTCCTGCCGCTCACAGCCAGCGCCCTACCCCGGACCGGACGGGAAACCAGTCGGAGCTATTGAGTCGGCAGGACAGAGTTTACGCAGAGCATATTACATCCATCCCGCCGTCCCCCAGATGCCGGACCGGTTCCCTCGGTCCACGGCCCAAGAGCCCGCATTGATGGCGCCGCGCTATACCTTCCCCCGGATCTTGCTAGGGCTAGTGTTAGCAAATTCTCTCACGTTGAGTCTGTGTGCTCACCTACCCGTCAGAGCGTAGCTGGAATAGCATCTTAGGCTACCAGCGAATATGTAGGGAAAAAGTAGGATGGTAGCGCCTACCGGTGCGGGCTACACTTGAACAATACACCCTACCACCAGTAATTACACAAACTGAACACAAACTACAATTACATTGAAGTCGTCGTGGCCTAACGGATAAGACGTCCGGTGCATTCGTGTGTAGCGATGCACCGGTGTTCGGATCCCGCAGGCGGGTACCAATTTTTCTAATGAAATATGTACTCAACAAATGTTCACGATTGACTTCCACGGTGAAGGAATAACATAGTGTAATAAAAATCAAACCCGCAAAATTATAATTTGCGTAATCACTGGTGGTAGGACCTCTTAGGAGTCCGCACGGGTAGGTACCACCATCCCGCCTATTTCCGCCGTGAAGCAGTAATGCGTTTCGGTTCGAAGGGTGGGGTAGCCGTTGTAACTATACTGAGACCTTAGAACTTATATCTCATGGTGGGTGGCGCATTTACGTTGTAGATGTCTATGGGCTCCAGTAACCACTTAACACCAGGTGGGCTGTGAGCTCGTCCACCCATCTAAGCAATAAAAAAAAATAAAAAATAAAAAACTTTGATTTTTATTAACGTGGTGGTATACAAGTATGTACTACATGATGCCTACGGTAAATGCCTACGACATTTCACTACTGGCATAGTCGCATTGCTTGATAAGATTACACATGGTCACACAACCGACTAATCGTCGTCATGTGGGCTGAAAACATTATTTTCCTAACTATATTTTTCCATCATGATACCTTTTTGGATTTAATACCTAACTATAAATTTTCTATTGTTTTAAAATAAGCATTCAATCTTAACTACAAATACACCTGAATGTTGACTAAATCAAAAGCCAATTGTTTATTTGTATTTTGACCTTTACATGACGAAATAGGACAATTCTAGTTTCAAATCATAGTTTAAAATTATTAGTCTGACTGAATCGCTAAATAGTTTTGGGATTTGACTGAGATGTTATTAAGCCTAATTATAAGGTAGACAAACGTGTATACAGGTTGCATCCAGGCACTGAAAGTTTTAATTTAAAAATCATCGCAATAATGAAATACATAAAATAATATCAATTAATGCCAGTGGTA